ATGGATTTAACGATCATCAGCCTATCTACACGGTGGATTTTCAGTGGCACTGGGGTTCAAACCCTAGTCGCTGCCACAACTGTTTCTGGTAATGAATTACTTAACTTAGAAAAACAGAGGACAGAATAATACTACACCCGAAAAGAACAGCACTACATTTCTAACTTCTATTCCATGTCATGCAAGAAATATAATATCCAATTTTATTTAAACTATTCCTTCCCCAATTATAGGTGGCCGCGGTAGCCGAGTGGTATAGGTATCGGATCATGGCTGGCTTTGTCACGAGTTCGAGCCCAGTTCCAATACAAATCCGCCGTGTAGGGCAGTGATGCACGCTAAATCTGTCGAGAGCTGAAACGTCCTTCCGTTAGTGTGGTGTGGTAGTTAGGAGAGGGGGTGCCAGCTCAGGTGTCGTCCACGTCACTTGACTATGGTTCAAAATTACGGGGCCCGTCGCCAAAAGCCCTCGTGTAGCTGAGCAGTGCGACGTTAATATTCACTCACTCTCTCACACCCGAATATATAGATTAAAATTTCCCAAAACATGATAGTCTTTGAGAATCACAGAGCTCATATTCAATATCTTTGTTTACAAATCGTTTTCTTTACAGCTTTTTCATTTCCTACTATTATTTCACACTATCTCTCTCTCTCTCTCTATCTATCTATCTATATATATATATAGTTCAAATTTTCATTCATAAAATAGTTTCTATTCACCCATTCACAAGTTCAAATATATTCTTTTAAACTTGCACTGGATGACACTGGATGTTAATATAGTTTTTTCGAATCTTAGTTCGTTAATTAAATTAAAAAAATAAATAAATAATAATAAACAAAAGAAATAGTCCAACAGCATATATAGAAATGAAAGACGCATGTCGTGTCCCTGAAGCGTAATGGATAGCGCGTTGGGCTTCTAATTCAAAGATTGTGGTTTCGAACCCATTTTGGGAAGGCCTAATTTCTGAGAATGTGATTCTTCTTTTTAATGTACTATTTTATTAGAATAATTAAGTTTAATGAATGCATAAATAGTAACAAACAAACAAAAAATAGTCCAACATCCTATATAGAAAGGAAAATGAAAAATTCAAAGGAAAATCGCTTTCTATTTTGCTGCTTAACAATGTGATTCTATAATATGTATATACATATTTATATTAATTGTAACTATTTAATAAAAAGTACCTAAAATAAAATTTTTCCTTTGTAGACCTAAGTAGGAATTGACTTAAAATTTTTGTTTTATATTACTTATTTTTTATGAACAAACTATAAAACAGCAGTATTAGCTCATAAAACTAAAAATGTAATTTCAATCAGTTCACTTTTCTTGTATAAAACCTTGCTTCTGTAATAGTTAATATCTTTATGGAGCAACAAAGGCTATTATTCCAAAAACCTTGCTTCTTGCCTTGTTATTTTTAAACGAAAAATATCAAGTTTATTACCGCTTCAAAAACACCTTAATTATAAACATTTGTTGAACTTAAACGAACTTAAGCCCACCACATGAGACTTTTTCTCAATGAAAGAAAATAAGTTCCACGCGTGTGTGCAAAATAAAAAATAAAAATCCCTAGTAGTGGGGATAGGAGAACCATAAAGCTCTGCAAAGTATCAATTATCTGTCGTTTTAATCTCTCGTCTCTTTTCCCCTACTTTGTCGATATTTCCCTTGTGGTTTTGATCATCCTGCTTCACTTATAAAAAAAACCTTATTTTTTTTTCAGAACTGAAGAGAGTGGAAAAGTCTCAGGAAAAAAAATGAAAAAGTTAATGAGAAGGGAAGAAGAAGGGAAAAAATTATCCCTGTAGCGCTCTTCACAATGAAGATGAGTGGCAGTTGCTTGAGCGATAAAATGTTTAGCGATAGAATACCCATTAATGTCATTCAGTTTATTCCCTGGTCACGACCATGGGTTTCTTGAGCGGTAGGTTTCACTTTTTCGTAAATTGCGATCGTTTTAATGGACACACTTTTGAAAATAATCCCGAAAGTAAAGCGATATCTGTTATTAGTTATTTTTAAAAACTTTTGGTTGCATGCAAGTTTATATAATATACTAGAAGGATTGTTTGAGTAGTACCGCAACCAAAATCAGTAATGTATCTTTTAATTTTGTGTTGTGTTTAAGCGGCGAGGACGACATCTGAACTAGTACTCCACTCCCCAAATTCTCACACCATGCCAACAAGGACTATGATCCTCAACAGATTTAACGCATCTCTGCGTGTTTCGATTAATTTATCAACGCTTCACTCCAGCGTTTCTCAAACTGTGGGACGCAACCCCTTTGGGAGGGGGGGGGGGGG